CTTCGGAAATACAGGCCGCTTCCCTCTCTGGCAAGACTCGCAAACTCTTCCAGCCCATTCGATTCACTGACCACCTAAATACTGGTGTCAGTGAGACTATATGCGAAGCGGATAGTTCCCCAATTGCAAACTTACAGAGACGCCTGGACCGATGGGTCCAACATTTTCATTCCCAGTTCAATTGGCTCTTACCGTCCAATTATATCTCCTGCAAACCCAACTGCTCTCCCTGCATCGTCCCACGTGATCCGCCCAGGTAAACAGAAGTTTGTCTTGCGATTCGACACATAAGAAGATTCAAGGCTGCCGGCTCAGACAGACTTCTCCCGGAGCTGTTCAGTTATGGAGGATCAGTTATCACTGGCCAGCTAACCTTATTGTTCTCCAAAATCCAGCATGAATAAAGGGTGCCTTCTTCCTATGGCCAGTCTGTTATTGTCCCGGTATGTAAGAACGTTGCTCGCACCTGGGGATTATTCTCATTTCGGTTGCCTCTAAGCTATTGGCATCCATTCTACTCCGTAGACTGTATCACATTCGCGAATCGCAGTACCGGAAAGAACAAGCTGACTTATGTCCTGGCCGCGGGTGTGTGGATCAGATATTCACAATCCGACAAATCCTGAAACACCACCACCTTTCCAGAAGCCAAACATCGTTGCTTTGCTGCACATAACTGCCGCGTTCGACTCGGTTAAGCGACCTGCACTATGGCTTTGTTTGCTAAGCAACGGTTTCTTAGAAAAGTTCACTGCCATCCTACGCGCAACGTATTTCCACATCTGTGGCAGAGTAAGAGTGTATGAGAAGTTTCATTGCCCTTCACTGTCAATAGCGGTGTACGACAAGGCATCCTATGTCCCCGTTCTTCTTCAATTTTGTGATTGCGGACATCCTGTCGAGATCTCTAGACGATTGCCAAAATTTTGGTATACCGCTATTACCAGGCATGTGAACAACCGACTTTGATTATGCCGATGAGATCATCTTACTTGGTGGGGAATAACAAAGCATGCAAACCCTTCTGGACCGCTTGGCGATTGAAGCAACTAGGTACGGAATGTACTTTGACCCGTCAAAGTGTGAAGTTCTGCTTCAGGATTGACACAACTGTCCCCGTGCTCAATATTGAAGGTAAGCAGCTTGGACAAGTGAATAACTGTGTCTACCTTGGCAGCTGTGCGTCTACTGGTGGTACTGTTGAAAAGGAAGTTTCTCTTCGCATCTCCAAAGCTCAATCGGCGTTTGTAAAACCGCAGAACTTGTGGCGTCCCAGAGATATCTCTGTTTTGGTAAAGGGCTGTATTTACAATACAACCGTTCAGGTGGTGTTAATATATGGAAGCGAGTCATGGCTATTTCACGTAGACGATATGCGTCAGCCCTGGATCTTCGACGACGCGTGTTTGAGGAGCGTTGCTCATATGTAATCGCAACAACAAAGTTGCAACAGCGAAGCCAGACGTCGTATCTTAGTGAATGCGAGTATTCCATTCAACAAGCTGGTTTTGCTCCGCCAGCTAAGATGGCTTGGTCATGTCCTGCGTAGGACAGCTGAGCGTCTGCTCTATCGCGCTCTGTTTGCTCGTGCAGGATTGAAATGGAAGAGACCACGCGATGGTCCACCATGCACATAGCGACAACAAATGAAAGCTTTGACTTCACGTCTTACCACCATTGGATCCACATGTCTGCCTGCTTGGGGACCAAAGGATGAGGAATGCCGATGACTGGAAACAATTCAGGATATAGGTCTTAATAGAAACCAGTGAAGAATCTGTGTATATAACTGCTTCGATTTAGGTACTTAGTGCTTAAAGATTAAAAAAGGGATAAACATTAGAAAATGGCATGTACAAAATAACAGAAAGCTCCGTATTTTTTGTTGTGTCGCAGTAGCTGAAGTGTGTTACTTACCTTTAGTTGGTTGCAATGATGATGATACTGTGTCAACTTGACTTCATTTAGCGATTTTCATGGTTATGTTTGACTCTATGTCTATTTGATAGAACGCTGACTATACTACTAATACTACGTTTGAGTGAAAATGGCGGTCCAAGTAGATAACAATCTAACTGACTGGCACCCATCCAATGGTATTGTATCCCATGGCTAATATTTTTCCTGACCCATATATAGGGAGCACGCTAGCTTCTTTGGTCCCTTTGGGCCTTGTTTGTAACAACCTGAAGTTTCGGTAATAATTGATACTCCAGACGCTGTGACGTTCTTCAGCATGACCTCAGTCACCCGTCCATATGGTCTGCAGAGGTAGATTTAGCCGTTCACCCGCTACACCCTGGCATTTTCATGAAGGATGTAGACGCAGGCTTACGCTGCGTTTTATTGTCCGTAGACACCATTAACAAGCTATATTGGAAAGGCGTGCGCATGCTTTTGACATACAAATGCAGCTACTCCACTTGAGTTTAACAGGTGGCTACTCGTCTCTTGTCTTCCATCATAATACTTGTGCTTATTTAAGGCTCACCCGCATCTTGTCCGATCACTTTGGCTTAACTATAAAAGCTGAAAATTGTTCAGCATGTAACTGCGAGGCTCATCGCCGGTGTACGGTGTATGTTGTACTAGACAAGTGCAAGAAACTAAGGCTGTACACACTGACTTAACGTCACGGTTGGGTGCATCAAATGTTGGCGCACCGGACATTGCTTCTTGATGATATCTATACTGATTCTGCATCTACGTGTGCGTGCACTCACAGACACCGGAACAAGCTAGTGGTACTGAACTTAAAGCAGATAGCTTACCCACTGCTTTTGGATCTTCGAGTGGTGAGATGTTGTAAGGCTTGCCGAGACTATAGTCGAGGGGAAATAGTCGCTGGAACTCAAGAAATTCCTGGGCACTCAATATTCCACGTTGCAGATTGCGATAGCGCATCGCTGTTGAAAAGAACATGGCACAGCCCAACATCCTTAACAGTGAGTGGTAATAAACAATGCGCGTGACCGATATTATATCACTGGGACAAAACATATACGTTACTTCTAAATAACTAACTACTAACATCGTCTGGTTAATCTTTATTTGCAGGATTGACTGTGTGTGAGTGCCAGAGTTCAGCTGCTTCCCTTCTTCGTTGTGCCCAAATAACATTAATAAATATTTGTGGTCTCCAATTTCAGCGTATCTGCGCAACGGTTTACAGAAATATTTCAACACAATTCGCCACACAAAACGTTGTTCGTCACAATTTCTCTACAAATAAACCCAGACTGCATGCATACAGGTTAGGCCCTTAGCTGCATTATTTTAGTTAGCAACTGCATCCACTGTTATAACCCTTTCATATTTCACTAATTAACCGCTGTACAGTAGTAACTTGTGGTGAAATACACTTAACTAAGAATAACCCAGGCAATCGCAATGAACAAATCCGCAGGAATTCATAGAGGATTTGGAATACTTGGAAAACAATAACAATTATTCCGAGACTTATGCCACTAAACTAGTTCATGTACATCATGAACCAACGTCACCAAGCGGTTCTTGATAACCGTTCAGCGTGCGTTTATGAAGTATATTTAAACAACGAGGACAGGTTCTTTTTGTTTGCTTGTCCTTGAATGGGTATAACAAAGGTTTTAGATTTTTATCACAAGCATTACCTATTAGCTAAAGGTGAGGAACACTTAGACAACTGCACCATAATACCAAGTTTAGGATATATGATCAGCAAAATACTAGGCATCTTAAAACACAACTACTAAAAAGCAAATGATAGAAGTGTCATATTAGCTATGCAATGTGAGATTGTTGTTAGAGAGGAGAGGTAAGCAAAGGACGGAAATCTACAAAGAAACTCCCAACATGAAGGCTACTAAAGTCCGCTTTTGCTGTGTCAACAAGTATATCCAAGCAGACGTGGTTATTATTTTCAGCCTCAAGTCTGGCAGTCGGAAGACACCAACGGACGCCAAATTCGAAGTAAGGGACTACTTTCCTCTTGACTTAGTCATCGCTTTGCTACCCATCCCTCCTCTTACTTGCACACGTTGGTCGCGCAAACAACGCACGTCGCGGAGTTGGTGTACCCCCATGTGAACTACGTGACCCAGCTATCAGAGCATGTTGCTTAATATAACGGTGCTGAGCGGTACACTCGCTCTTCCTGCACCCAATATGGTAAACACGCTCCTAGCTCGTGCGAAGACGGTGATGGTCGAAAGCAACAAGTCTCTTAAGGTCCGCCGATCGATAGGTCAGGTTTCGCAAAAGTACAGGTAGTTGAATGAACGGTTGCCTTAAAATCCCAGTCTTCTGGGCCACACCACGGGCAAAATCAACTCGGGCCTGTGATATACGGTTTGTGATCTCATCCTCTATCCCACCGTCACTAATGTAGCGGCCAAAATGCTTTAATTTATGGATGACATCTAGCTGATTCACAAAAAGGGTCAGCGCAAGATTAGGTCCCTCCCAATCTTAGAGAACCTTGTATTTCGAACGCGTGAAGAATGGCCAAAAACGGCTGACAGCCAGTGCTGCTACTCAAGTTTGGGAGCTCTCACAGATTAGAGCATTATGATGGGCACAATAAGTTAAAATTCCAGGTTTCTCTTAATCCACATACTTCATTTATTTGCTCGCGATTAGGTAGCGATACTTCTGAACTTACTCAACTTTACTAAAACGCCACTAATGCTGTCAAGTCGTAGCATTGGTCACAATTTGTTTTGTTGAATAGACTATTAAGGAATAAGTACATAATGTTATTCACCGTACTACAAATGCTTTGGTTAAACTCCGATCCCACGTCGATGCATCATCTCTTATTACCTTGGACTGCCTGCCTTTGTTTCAACATGAATTGTAAATTAACAAGTGCCTATGGTTGTCATATTTCACAACTTTTAAATTGTATTATATCGCAGACAACATATTTAGAATAAAGAAAATGTGCAAGGAATGAGGTACTTTCTATGGTACATAGTGCAGTCGTACGACCATGGGGTAGTACAATTTCAGCCACCCAGCTAAGAATTAATGTGCATAGTACGAACAGCTCGTTCTGCAGCCGAGGAATTGTTTAGTACAGTAAAATCACATGGTGCTGTGCTTTTTGTGGATCTGCTGGATTGTTGAGGATATCCTGTCACAAATCTAGGTGACAGAGCAAACAAATGGTTTTGAAGCACTTTGCGATTTTCCTCCGGAGAGGTCTTTGGACTCATACACTGGTTAACAAAGGTGGTACAAAAGGTATCTTCTTTTACTTTTATATCAGCCACACTAGGTTTGCAGCCGTTGATCATTTCTGCAGAACAAGGTTGCTGCAATCCTATACAAGTCACATTCTTCTGTTTGCACAAAGCGTTTTGAGGTGCGTGGGTGCGACTGCTTGATTTCATCGACGTTGTTCTGCATCCAAGTGAGTCACAATAACACGGTGATAGACATGGGGAATCCTCTTCTCGAACCTGAAGTTTTGATGCGGCTTGATCCATGATATTCTTGCATCGTTTAGGATATGTTTGGGGATTCGTGCTAATGCTTTGCTTTGCGTGAAAGTAGCCATCGAGCACAAAAGATTGTAATTTCGGTATATTTACATCAAAGTTAGAGCGTAGATCTCCCAGTTCAGCAGCTGCTCCTGAGTGTTTATCATAGAAACGATCCTGCTTTTCGAGGTCATCTCTACAGCAACCTGAATCAGCGTTCATACAGGTTCCCATTCGCTTGACCTTCGAACTGAATAAGTTTCCGTTCAACAGCGTAGAGCTGGAATTTGCGTTAACGCTGAGCGGATTTTCTGTTAGTCGAGGATGGCGAAGGGCAACGAAGACGCTCAAGCAGATGAGGCTCGTAATAAATATAAAACCAATGATTACCCACATCAGATCAGCGGCTGTTAAGCAAACAGTGTACTGGCATTTAGGGTATCCTTGCTTTGGTAAGAGCGATGGGGCAGAATAGTGGTAACAATGAGTAACGGGCTCTTCTTCCTTCTGTGTTTTTACAATAGCGCAACTTGGTAGAACACCTGTGGCAAGATAAAAATAAGAACAAGTCAACAAATAAACAAAGTTATTATATTTTACGGGAGCACAAAGCAATCTTACAAAGCAGAACCGTAGGTTCGAAAGAAAGATGTATTGTCTTGGCCTGATAGTAATGACATCTATTCAGAGACAGTAGCCAAGTTATGGTAGAAAGCCATTTTCATTAATCCAATGGAGTTAATTAAAAGCAGTTTGTCGGTGTACCAACTACGTCTTAAAAACATATAGAAAATCATTTTAGGACTTGCATGACAGAATAAAACCCTAGAAAATAGACTTGTTAATGGTCCTATTTCAAGTAGGCAACAGATTATGCACTGCATTGCGGAAGAATTTTATATATATGGCGACCAATCAGCCACAGGAAAATAGTTTTGAAAGTAACTTTCCTTCACAGATTGGATGGACAAACCTGTAAACAAACAATTAGCTGTATATGTCCTTATTATTAGGTGGAAAAATAGCAAGTGGAATGGATACGAATTGTGCAGCAACCACTTGGTTCAGGTTATTATTATTGTGCCCAACCATTCGGCCAAATTGGTTTTTCTCAGAAAACGGGTCTCCAGCTAAAACCCTGCCCCAATATATATGCAGTTCATTACCCAATTGCTAAGGATAACTATCCAGACGGAACATTCTACTGATGAGTGGACTGTGGACGGTTGTTCACCCAGGGGTATGAGCCTCGCTAGTATTTCCTTTAAACGGGTGTGTGAATGCTCACATATTGTTTCACATGGCTGATAGTTTAAAGCTGTTACATGGCACAATTGCTTGGTCCTCTTTATTTATCTTGGAATTAATGAGCATTAGCATTCCAGATGGTCTCTTAGTTAACAAAATTCTGTATCAATCACTCGGTATCTTTACTTAACTCTAGTGCTTTAGGGGAGATTCTCAATTATGCTGCAATTAACCAGCATATTAATATTGATACTAAGTTCGTTGTATACTCAAAACAAACGGTTCTAACTATACGGTTAGCTTATTTTTGCGTTCTGGACAAATCTTCACCCTCAACTCAGAAGCGTTATACAACTGAACCTTATATAAACACTATGCAATGTAGATGAGAACGCAAGACAAGTTTTGAAAGGCCTTACTCTTTATAAGCTCACATTGTTTCGTTTGCACTTCGACATGTGCCCATCTCTCCAGCGTTATCGTTTTGAACCGTGGGCTTGAGTATTGGCTAAGATCCGGCCGAACTGAGTCGTTCACTGCGTACCGTGGGGCGTTGGGTGATGTATTATCGAGAAACACTGAATGGCTGTGACGAGATACTGTGCGTCTCAGCGTCCTCACATTGCCTTCACATGTTTGCTAGTGTACGGTAAAAAATAAAGTAGCTCACATTGCATGTGTGAAGGTTGTCAACATTTACCATGCTAAGTAACTGGTCTTATCCATGCAACTCCATATGGAGCATAAACTGGCAATGCGTCATTCGATTTTGATAGCCTGACCGTTACAACATAATATTGCATTCGTTTGCTACAGTTTATATCCTTGCGATAATCGATTTTTGTTTCCCTTAGGCATGGCTTTATGGAAATAAAAGGACAGACATCGCATAGTGGCAGTTAAGTAAAAACACAAAACACAAATGGTGTCGCACTGGTTTATAATATTCATTTACCAGATTAAGAATCGAATAAATAGTGCTGTTGTTAAACTGCCAGTTGTATGATAAAATGCTAAAATCAGGGAGCCGTCTGAGAGCCTACAGTGGTGTGGGCGCCTCAGCTGTAAGGTGGTTGAAACACGATTTTCTGGACAAGAGAACCAACAAATTTCATGCAGACCAGTTTATGATTTCAGACAATTTTTGGTACATCGAAATTTGCGGGGTAAAAGAATATCAAACCTAATTCGCCGTCAACATTGCTTGGTTGTACGTCAGCCTTGTATGATGTAGTAGACAAGGTAAGTTTTTCTATCCGCAAATCAAATCGATGTAACTTAGGCAAAATCATGTTGCCAAGATGTGATTTTTAAGAGGTTGCCATACTATGCTAAATGTAAAAATATGTAGGAGCTTCAAATGTTTCCAGTAATCTATAACAAACCAGCGCTACGTAATGTCCAGGACTATATTTCATCACCACGGCATGTAATTGCTTATGGCAAAACCATTTAACATATTGAACTACTTACTTTATGATCCTCAGAAAGGTTGCAAATATATGTCCAATAGAGAAGTATAGTGCACTATATACTTTACAACAGTTGCAATTTTAATATCTCGGAATATGCTTGGAACCGACTGTTGCAATTATAGCTGATTTAATGGTAAATGACCATTTTAAATTAAGCTTATGCACTCCTACTCATGTAGCTTAGTTAAGGCAACGCTTAGTTGTTCAAGGAAACAAGCAATGTTCTAATATTCAATCTGTTCATAAGGATAAGATAAAGCTGCATCTTTCCTACCTTAGACAAATGTAAAATGATTATTCAAATAGTTACTTTATGGAAAATAATGCACGGTGATCTGTCCAAATCATACTGAGGAAAGTAGTCCTTCCCTTACAGCATACCGTTATATATTAGCTATTCAAGTGAATTGAGAAAATCAAGTATTTGTACAATCCTGTTATGTTTCAGTCTAAGACCATCCTTACGGCCCGTTAGTCAACGAAAATAGTTTTTGACGAAACAACCATTTCTTTTTAGCAGGTAAGTTTTAATTTGAATTTCCTGTTTTCCGTTAAGCCGGAATGTTATAACGTCATTTAATTTGCTATATTAAACTCAACCAAAAATTTCAGTGTCGGAAAATTAATTTATGCACATACCACGGTTGCGATTACTTTCAAAACGGACGAGTCAAGGTTAGATGATTCGAAGATGGATAGATTCTTGCTTACGACGATTAAACAGAACAAGATGTTTTTCCCTACGCATGTTATCTTCTGAATTTAGGTTGGATACCTTTTGCTCTCTCCAAATATAACTAGAAAACAATAGATTAAAAACGCATCACTTACTTTAGCATGCTAAAGTATGGATTTTTCAAAGCCGCTCACCTGCTGACAGTCCACTGGATTTGCGCACAACTTGAAAACGCAGCGAAAAAATATGGATGACCCATTGCCCATTTTAAAGCTTGGGAACTCATCACTCTGAATATGTCGGCTTGGAAATTGTCCATTTGAGAAGCGTGTGTGCAACCACGGATTTTTGACAGGACAACTGTACAAAGACAAAAAGAAAATTTAGCAAGCTCAATGAAACTCACTAGCTCCGGACTAGTGACTTCAGATATCTTATAATTAACAACTTGTTTTGTATGTATAAGATGAAAAGTACTTCGTATGGTTTTCATGCAGCGCCGCTTATGGGTTTTGTTTGTGCGAACCATTCGAGTGATGGTGTTGTTAACTCAAAATGTTTACAGCACACTAAAATGGATCAACAAGGGGTTATCGTTTAATGTGGTACTGTTGTCATGCAGAAGACAAATTCTAAAGCACAAATATAAGAGATATATTATCCAAGTGTAAAAATTTATAAAGTACGAATAAAGTAGATTTGTGCACCCACACTTTCAAGCAGCTAGCAATTTGTAGATGCATAAGGATAGAAATTATGCCACCAGCTATTTTGTTCTTCTTTCCCATTGTTTACATCAAGCAGTGTAATCGAATAATTTAGACGCCCAATGTATGCTGTATAGTTAATTTGAATAAATGAAAATCGACAGCCACAGTAGCGCACAAGTTGTTTATGTTAATTATTAAAAACATAACTTGTAACTTGTTTGTCTACAAATAAGCAATGAATCATCACTTGCTCTACATACTCGGGGCCGAAAGGAATCAAGGATACGCTTAGGATCAAGTCAGTAAACAAAGGCTGTCTAACATCTGCTTATCGAGCAGCATGACTGCCGTACTGACAAGATACTTTGCATAGCTTTACTCAACGCAGGTGCAATTTTACTTAATTAACAAACAGACGCAACCTTGTCCAGTGTGCGATTGAGACATAACAAGGGTTAAACCCGAGTTACTGCTCCATCGAGGACATAATTACGAACCAAATTTTCACAGTCACGGAATCTAGGTGGCGAATAAATCAATGTTTTTCATCTGGCGTAAATTGTAACAGATAGAATATTGGTTGTCAAGTTTCAGTTATAACGACAGCGTCTCCCCTTCTATTTCATTCCTAGTTATGGAGTAGACTCAAACTTGACTTAATGGCGCAGCTGGGTCACTTCATTCCCATGCTTCAGTTTGATACGTGTTTTGGTGGCACTCAAGTGCGTCGCCGAACACGGTTTGCGGTGACTTATTCATTTGCTTTATAACTTCCTGGTGCCTCAATCTGGAATGTTGAGCTCAGATAATGAGGAGCACTGGGCACGCATTCGATCATTTATAATTTCACTTGAGAAACCGGTCAATAACTTGATATCCGTATGATTACTCCGCCATTCGTATGCCTCGTGTTACTGCAAGTAAACTCGCATACAACTTACTTGGAATTCCCCTGAGGACAACACGCAGGACATTTTGCATGCAATAAAAATTCAACCCAGGCCGCTTTCCTTCTCACTTGATAGCTACTATGCTTGTCTATGAATGAAGTTTCTTGTCGATAGTATACCTAACGTTTGGCTATGGAATTGATAATGGTAGTTCAGGTTGTTCAGATTGCGGTTGAACTGTTTGTTGAGCTTGGTACTTTTGTTTCAGACGTTTCGTCACCAGTCGAGGTAACATCAACAGCGCATTCACACTGAGGCTCCTCTACGCTACGCTACTGCACGCCGCTCAACTACGCACTGATGATGTCACTACGATTGATGACGAAACGTTTGCAACCACATTGCCAAGCTCAGCGAACAGTTCAACCACTATATATCTAACCGTACCCAGAGGATAACCGGTACCATCTTGAACGGAAATCAAATCCTTCGTTTTTACCTGAAAGATTGTCTAGGCAGTCCTCACTGATGCAAGAACACTTTCATATACTGTTTCCTTGGAATCAACTAGATAATACTATACAAGACCTTCAGTTTACAATCGGAGGACCAATCCTTGCTAGTAACTTTCTTTCGAGTTAAAACTTCCACTGAATATCTATGGTCGACTATCCTGCCACATCAGGAAAATCACCAACCTTTTACACTTTCACGGTTCCTATGCAAAACTATTCTGACTTGCTGTCTCATACATACCAAATGCAACCTTTAAGTCGACTAATCAGATTCCCGTTCTGCTGCACCATGATTCCTTGTAATAGAGTTACCGATCTAGTCAAAGTACTTGTTTATTGCGAGCAGTTCAGTTCTGTTTATCAAGCACATTCTTGATCATACATTCTTGCTGCTCTAATCCTATTTAACCCGTAAGTTTGTTTGACTATTCCAAGCAGGCTTCATGAAATCTATTTATTCTGGACACCGACATAGTCCCACTATTCATTATCAGTATATTATCTGACCAGTAGACAAACACATAATATGTTATTCTCAAGTAATATGTTGGAATTAATTGACTATAGCTGTGTATGCATGTCATGTGTACTTCGGTAATAAAATACTTATTTAATTATGTAGTTATGCTTGCACATTCAATACGCGGTGAATAAAGCACAGAATCCATGTTTTATCCCATGCAGGATCGAAATACTTATTTGATGCAGCATAAGTACAAGATGGCATTAGCGGTCCCTCCAGGAACTATCAGCTTTCCATTCACTAACAGTGAAAAAGCGACTGTAAGCGAGTTTATGCCTAAAACGAGTGACGGGCTATTCAACACTCGATAAAGCCCATTTATGCGTTGGTTTAAGCGACAAGCTTCATCAGCTAATTTCCCTTCAGGAATCAACAGTAATCCTCGATGGGTAGACGTTTCAGCATTGCCAGAGGCTGAATTTTTCACAAGCCAAGCATATTAAAATGGCGAAAAGCATTTGACACAGATGAACATCCTCCTACTAGTTTCAAAATCATGTTGCTGAGGCCATAGTGCCGCAGCATTTTTTCTAAATGTTGTGGATTTTATACCTGTTCACAAAAGTAAAAGCAAACTGTAGTAATAGCTGTGGAAAGAGCGGTCTGAGCAGCGTCGCTTCCAAAGTGTTCCCTTCACTGTTGTTAAGGTGACTTAAGTAGAATGGAAACAGCGCACAAACAACATCCAGAGTAAGTTTCTCCCAAGTGGGAGTTGTGCCGATATTTTTTGCGAATATCCGCCAAATATTTAAGCTGCCTCACGTGTTTATCCTGACAACCATCGTATTTTCTTGGATTTATGAATACCCCTAGCTTCAGCTAACTTTTCTGCATTCACCAGCCAATGCTTGAGAAACGGATTGCGTGAGAACTGCGTTAACAGCCTTCATAAAATTTATTCCCAAAGCTTAGAAGTATGCGTTTATCCGGAATTACTTAGGTTCTATATCATTACCATTGACACGAGGATGTTTTGCGTAGTATCTCGCATTACTTTTTAACTTTACTGTTGCTGCGATTTACTACAAATCCAGCGGCTTTGACTTGCCTACGAGAGACGGATTACGCAAAATGGACTAAGCGGACGACAACCGCATATTGTTTAGTTTTTCGCAGACAGCCGGAAACATGCTGCACTTGTTCGAATGTGTATCTATTGTAATTCCTATTTCAATAAGATTTTGAGCAAAACAAATGGATAGGTCAATTTGTTCAGAATTTGCTCCAATTCTCAGTCTTTCGGATTAATTTTCGAAGCGTCAACTGTTCCTACTGCCCAAAAATTGTCGTGTTGCTAGTGGTTTGACGAACGATGTATCTTTTTGCATCTCTCAGGCTCAAGTTGCCTTTGTTGACGTAATCTATTCCCAGCGAATACGTTAACACTATCTATGTTTGTGGGTTAGAAACTAATATAACGATTCTAACTATTGTGTATCAAGCTTACGAGACTTGGCATGCCCTTTTCAAACACTTCATAGTCTGTCTCCTCTCACCAGACCGTTGCTGGCGGACGGTGGCGATATCACAAAGTGATGATGAATACTAACGACTGGTTGTTTAAGCACACAATATCCGTAGGCTACTTAGTTGCACAGGCACACTGCAAGAGCTACGGTGGATTGGCGTTCGCTTCGCTTGGAAACTGAATGGTTGCTTCAACATACCCTTCATGCACGCGAATGTACATTTAGTACTAAAGCGATGCGATCGACTTGTGAGTGACTCGAATTTTCGGGTGCTGAGTCAATTGCCTGTGGTCAGAAATCCACAACTCCCGGGCTGGGTATGCAAGTATCACATAAAGAACTGGCCATAAAACCCCTTGCTTGTAACACATATTCTTACAAAATATTGATATGTTTTGAGCTAGAACACTGTACGGTTGCTTCATGATTCCAGGGAAAATTAACAGTACCATTACCTTTGAATCACTATTATATATACCTAAATTACCGTTCCTATCTCTCTAAACTACAAGAAAGTGATATAATTCCGATGGCAGAGGAGGGAGAACTCGTAGGAGGAATAAAAGTTGGACGAATTCTATCCACTATTTTTATTTTCATATCGAACTTTGAATGAATAAAAAGGTATATCAGACCGAAAGCAACCGCAGTTAACTTATAACGCTGTTTATTAGCGGCATTGTCTCATAATCTGAAGTGCTGTCCACGTCCTAATCGTTTATCCCCCCATAACCTCACGATACCTTCACTGCTTGCATAACAATGATAATGAAACGCGATGCTGTAAAATAAGTAGTTTAGATGGAAATCCCAGGAACACTGTTATTTACATTCTCTATAACGGAGAAATCATAAAAATGAAAGACATCTGCTTATATTTTACATGCTAATGATGTCTTAATGGCAGTAAAGTTGCATGTCACCACCACTATAAACTACATATATTCTGATAAATTTATTACGAGTAATCTTAAAATTAGGTTCCAAATTTAACTGCAAGTCCCCTACAACAGCTAATATGATGGATAGTATTTGAATAAAGGGGTAACTAAATTGCAAGTTTTTGTATGTTGGAATCCTCGAACGACCTCATGATTCATTGGGATAGAAAAAGTGGGACGATGCACATTTTCCAATAAATTAACATCCTTTGATGTTATCTTAATGTGCTTTGAAAATACAGCTCAGCATACGGTTCGTCGTGGTGCCTACTTGATTAGATCGGCGGTACGAAATATATACAAAATAAATAC